AAAAAACGATCACTTAAGTGCCAACGGCGAGAAATTCTGATCAAATTTAATACGTGGCTTTTATATTTAAATTTTAATGACACGTGGCATTTCCATGTGTATAATTCAATTTTTTAAATATTTTTTTTCTGATTTTCTTCTTTCTTTTCTTTTTTTTTTCTTTTCTTTCTTCTTATTTCCGATGGCCGGCGTCCGGCCACCGGCCATCGGCCATGGCCAGCCTCGCAGGGCATCGCCTTCCTCCGGCGAGGCAGCCGTGGCCTCGGCGAGGGCCGGCCTTGCCGGATCTGGCGAGGCGAGCCCTCGCCGGGGTTCGCCCTGCCCGAGCGACCTCGACCCTCGCACAGGCGGGCGAGCCCCGGCGAGGCTCGCCTCGCCGGAGTCTGGCGAGGCCGACCCTCGCCGAAGCCACGGCGACCTCGCCGGGCCTCGCCCGGAGGAAGGCGAGGCCCGGCGAGGCCGGCCATGGCCAGTGGCCGGACGCCGGCCATTGGAAATAAGAAGAAAGAAAAGAAAAAAAAAGGAAAGAAAGGAAAAAAGAAAGAAAAGGAAAAAAAAAGAAAAGAAAGAAAAAAGAAAGAAAAGGAAAAAAGAAAAGAAAAGAAATGCCACATCAGCCTCCGGCGAGCCACATCAGCTTGAGAAATTAATAAAAAAATGCCACGTCAGATTTCCGGCGAAGTGGCACTTAAGTGATCGTTTTTCACAACTTTTAGCACTTAAGTGATCCTATTGAAAGTTTTGGCACCAAAGTGGCCTCCGTACACAAGTTTTGGCACCAATGCTGTTCTTCCCCCGGATATCGAAAGTCCAAAGGGGTCCGGTCTCCTCCCCATTAAACGTTCTATAGCACCAGGCAACATACTCATGGATTGCAGATTCTAACTCCCCAACATCTACCCATACTAGCGTATAGTATCTAATGTACATGTTCCCGTCCCCTACGGGATGTACCGACATCGTCTTCTCGATGAAGTGGGGAATCCCAAAACGCACAAGCGGCTCTGCCATCCTCACTGCCGGGGGTCTGAAATATCGGTTTCCAACAACCGTGAGACGAATCTCAGCAAGTAGAAATCCCTAAACCCAAACTAGGCTAACATGCATCTCCTGACAAGCGAACAAAACACACATAATAGTGTACCATAAACATTACAATAATTGACCTAGGCCCATGGTCCAGATCTCTCAAACAATGACCCTGCAGGTTAGGCATTTATAATAATGTTCACGGCACATACGCGCACACACTGGTCACGCGTATGCCATACGCATGCTCATGCAATGCACTCCGATATGCAACTCGCTTCAGTTATAAATCGACCCGGAGGCCACGACCCGAAGGCCAACAAATATTTCGACCCGCGAAAAAACGCTTAAGGCCCGACCCGTAGGCCCACATATATACCGACCCGAAGGCCAACGATTATAAATCGACCCGAATGCCACAGTTATAAGCCGACCCGAAGGCCCTTAGTGATCACACGATGCATAATGAGTACCAATTCCAATCACGGGCATGCACTCCAAGATTACTAACATGTTCAATTGTGCCATAATATACTCAATCAGTATTTCATCGGCATGCCCAATTTCCAATTAAACATAAATCGGTACGGCACACAATTCATAACCTTAGTGCACACAAACTTGCACAATCAAGGCCCAATAATATCAAATCAATCTTGGCCAACAAATATACACACGTGCCATCACACAATTGAACCCAATCAGGTACCCATTAGTCATTGAATCGATCAATTCGGACCAATCATGACAATAATCCAATTAACCTTAACTTAGTAAATTTTAATCAAATTCGGATCCAAAGAGGACAGCCACCAAACAACCATCATTAGGTCACTAATCCACCTCCTAATCAACTTATTAAGTCCCAATTATACCACATAATCAACTAGTGTCACATCCTCAATTTCAGTCCCTGGAAAATGGCTATGGTTTAAGTTTGGTAGTTTTCCAATTGGAACCAAATTTTTACTCTTGTTTTGGAAAACGATATTTCGGATCCTTGGTACCCCTTCCTTTTGTTATTTTTGGGGAGACTTTTGTGATCCGTATTTCCAAACACTTTCTTCTTCAAAGTTGTTCCAAATATCATGACGTTTTACATAATTTAACTTCAGAATTTTTGGAATTGATATGAGTGGTACGATGGCCTGATTTTCGGACCGTGTAAAACTGCCCAGAATGGGTATTTCGGTGATGTTCACACTGTCTTGATTTTCTACAAGATTTTCTGGGACGATTTTGGAAAAGTTTCCTTCAAAAAAGTTGTTGAGAATGTCCTTTCCTATAACGTGTATAAATTTGGGAATTTTCCGAGATGATTTCGATTCTGGACAAAGCTTAATTTGAGAAACCAGAGTCCCGTTTCAGCGAACTGTTTTTAGTCTGTCTTTGAGCTACTAAAAATGGTGTTTACAGAAAGATTCCGAATTTGTGTTCTTCACGAGAAATGTTTGGTAAAGTCTTATTTACGATATATTCAAATTTGAGAATTTTTGGAGTCCATTTACTATATTTTTAAGCTCGATTTCGTGAACAGTGCAAAGCTGTTCGGTTTTATAAGATTTCCAAGATTTATCAATTTCTATTTGAGAACGTTGGAATCTTAACTTGATGTCTTTTGGTGATATTTAAGGACATTTCCGCGCCGAACCTCGGGTTGAATGAGATTATTATACGTGTTTTGTCGTAGAAAACTCTCGGAAATCAAGGAATTGATTATGATGCGGGTTTACGACTTGAGTGTCGATTAGTTGTTATTGTGCAAACTGATGGTGCTGAGTCATTGTGAGCCGAACCGACATTTCTAGAAGACCGAAATAGGCTCCGTGTTTGTTTGGTTGGGAAGAAACTAGAAGATAAGGCTTTGTCATGGTCAAAGCTTCTCCTTCAAGCTTCCATCATTAAGTTTCATTAATGCCATTAAATGGCCCTTGACTTAGAAGCCCTATTTCATGATGACAAGCATTAATAACATTAGACTTTGGAGGTCCTATCATTATGGCCTTGCCAAGGGAACCAACGTGAAGGCCATTCGGCCGTGAGGAAGGAAAAGAGAGAGAGAGAGAGAACCAATAGGGAAAGGATGAGTCTTAGCCTTCATCATTTAACCCATAAATGCTCATAAATACCTGGATGACATATGCCATGACTCAAGCAAGGCCATCATGACTATTGTGCACATTAATACTTGGCTTCTTCTCCAAGCTTATTTGTCTATAAGGAAGCAAGAAGCCTCACGTGAAGTCCCCCCCCCCCCCCCCTCATCCTCTCTCACGCCATCCTCCAATCTCACGCCAGCATCTCCTTCTTCTTCCTTTGTTCTTGTTTTCTCACTTTGGCCGAGAAGCTCACGCCCAAAACCAACCCCAAACCGGCCCGTGTTCCTACTCGTTCCCATCCAAGAGCCACGGTTTGGCCTTGGTAGGCCTCGTCTTGGTCGGCCAAATAAGGAGGAAGCAAGGAAAGAGCCCGAAATTTCCCGAGCTCACCCGTATCGACCCCCCCCCGTTCCTTAGTTTTATTTGTCGTTGTGTAAGTGAATTCCCTAATATCGGGAAAGGAAGTTGCGATACGTTGTAACATGGGTTGGTTGACCCGTTTCTTGGTTTCATGGTTGTTCGTTGTTTCTCATCTAATGATGTTCACGTGTGATACTCACGTTTGATGTTTGTTTGGTTGATTTCGTAGCATGACTTTGCTATTTGAAATGCCATTGATGCCGGTACGGTAAGAATTGACTTATGTGAACGATGATTGTCTCGTCCTCGCTTGATATTAGTGTTTTCACTTGCTGAGTCTCCCCGATTCATCCCCCGTTGTTTCCCCTTTTTCAGGTCCGTAGGATGGCGTCTCCCCCAGCCCGCTTTGGCAATCCTGTGGAGTAGAGAGCCGAAGTGCTCACCTTGATAGATGTCAATAAAGACCGCGCCTACCATCGAATCACGACGCTTGAGACGTTCGATGAGGGCCTAACGGACTTGGTGCCTCAGGGCGGGCCGGCTCCTGGATAAAGTCACGGGTGGGATGTGAGATGGCCAGGCGGACGGGACTAGGGTGGAGGTGAAGAAGCGAGTAGCGAGAAGCCGTAGTGGGTATAGGATAACCCAAGCCGAGTTTTGTTACTCAGTCGGCTATGAAAATATGTGTTGTTTGCCATGGCCCGAAGGGCCTGTATTTAATATGTTTTCATGCACTGTAAATATAAGCTTTGTTCATGACGCTGCTTGTCTAAATTTCCGCTGTTGTTTTGAATGTGATTGTCTCGATATTATGCTTCCGCTCGTGTGTAAAGAAAGATAATAATGAACGGGACATCACGTTAATGACCCCGAGGTGGGGGCGTCACAATTTAATTTGGTATCAGAGCAGGTTCCCCTCCAGTAAGTGCAAGTTCGGTGTTGAGCCAAGAAGAGGCTGTGGAATCCTAAAAGGACAAAATCTGATGAGGGCGGGGAGTGGTCGCCGAGGTAGAACCTGATCAAAGAGCGGCTCTTGGCTATGAAGTGGACGCCGGGGCATGAGGCCTGACCAAGGTGCGGCTTCTAGCAAGAGTGGTCGCCGGGGTTGAAGACCTGAACAAAGTGCGGCTCCTGGCAGGCTTCTAAGATGATGGGTAAGAGAGGAAGAAACCGAACTATGCACTGAATGGGGGAGAACGATTCTGAAATCCAAACGGAAATAAAGACCTGGAGTGAAAAGGTGCGCTGAAGTTGGGGTAGTTAGCTAGGAAACACCCCTGCGCATGTGAATGATTGATTGTGGTTGAATAGGTTGTGTGCTAATATTTGTTTGTGACCACTGACCTATTCTTGTGTTGTAGAAAGACCCCTTAGAATACCAATATGAGTGCTCGGAACCCGACTGCGACCTTGACCTCGAAGGGGAAGTCAAATCAAGACCCCCGAATAGACGGAATTCTGTAGGCTCTGGCGACCGTAGGAGAACTGTTGGGACAGTAGGCCCAACAACGAATGCCTAATGCTGAGAATGTGGCAGCAAATGGAAATGGTGGCCGTACGATGCACGGATTGGTCGAGCAATTCCTGAAGCTCCAACCCCCGAAGTTTATCGGAACTGGAGATCCCGAAGAAGCGGAATCCTGGATCGATGAACTCCAGAAGGCATTTGAGCTTTTGAGATGTTCTGAGGAAGAGAAAGTTACCTTAGCAGCCTATCAACTGCAAGGTAATGCCAGCTATTGGTGGAAAGCGACCAAGGAAATCGTGTTCCCAGAAAATGCTGCTGTCAACTGGAATGCTTTCGTTGAAGCATTCAACGGAAAGTATTTTTTCCGAATGTGCTCGCGATCGAAAGATGAAGGAATTCTTGCAACTTCAACAGAACAACATGACGGTGGACCAGTACAAAGCAAGGTTCGCTCAACTGTCGAGGTACGCCCTTAAACTTATTGAAGATCCAGTGGAAAGGGCAAAAAGATTCCGAGACGGTTTGAACCCAGACATCCGGAGACAGTTGGTGCCGCTGAACCTCAAGGATTACAACGAGCTGTATGAACGAGCGCAGCTGGTGGAGAAAGAGTCCTTGGAACGAGCTACCACGGCGACTAACCAAGGAAAGCCGTATCATCCGACTTCTCAATCCAATCAGCATCATGACAAGAGACCGATGTCGGGAGAAAATCGTTTCTCCACTCCCAACAAGAAGATAAAAAATCAGAAGCCAATTTCCACTGCAGGCGATGCATGCCGTACTTGTGGAAGGTTTCATGGAAATGCTCCGTGTCCAAAACAAACGGGAGCATGTTTCGGCTATGGTCAACAAGGCCACTGCATAAAGGACTGCCCGCAACGACAGCAAGTGAAGCAGTCACAACAACCACAGGCGATGCAACAAAAAGAAGTTCCATCGCATGATAATCGTCCTCCAGCTCAAGGAAGGATTTATGCAATTACTCAAGAGGAAGTGGAAAACTCCGAGAATGTTATTACGGAGACTTGATAAATCGAGTGACTGGAACTGTACTGGTACTGTTTTATCATAGTATTTATGTACGACGTTTCAATGTACTAAAAGATCCAAGCAAGTATAAGAAATATTTAAGGATAAATCAGAGTGGCGCAGCGGAAGCGTGGGAAGCCAAAGCTAGAAGATTTTCCATCAAGAAAATTTTCAACGTTTTCCGAAAAAGCTAAATAAGGCTACCTTCAGAAAGGAAGGTAGAATCCAACTGTAATAACGGTTATCAGCAAAGCATCAAGATGGCACCATTCGAGGCATTATACGATCGAGCTTGCAGAACTCCGGTCTATTGGAACGAGGTCAGGAAAAGAAGGTCAGGGGTCCAGCGCTAGTCCCACTCGCCTTAGATGCTGTCCAGATAAGTAGAGAAAAACTTAGGACGGCACAAGTCGGTAAAAGAATTAGGCTGACAAGCGCCAGAAATCGCTTAAGTTTCAGGTAGGCGACTATGTCTTTCCGAAGGTGTCACTAATGAGGGGTGCGTCACACTTCGAAAGGAAAGGTAAGTTAAATCCCAGGTACATTTTAAATTTCGAGGACGAAATTTTTTTAGAGGGGAAGAATTGTCACATCCTCAATTTCAGTCCCTGGAAAATGGCTATGGTTTAAGTTTGGTAGTTTTCCAATTGGAACCAAATTTTTACTCTTGTTTTGGAAAACGATATTTCGGATCCTTGGTACCCCTTCGTTTTGTTATTTTTGGGGAGACTTTTGTAATCCGAATTTCCAAACACTTTCTTCTTAAAAGTTGTTCCAAATATCATGAAGTTTTACATACTTTAATTTCAGAATTTTTGGAATTGATATGAGTGGTACGATGGCTTGATTTTCGGACCGTGTAAAACTGTCCAGAATGGGTATTTCGGTGATGTTCACACTGTCTTGATTTTCTACAAGATTTTCTGGGACGATTTTGGAAAATTTTCCTTCAAAAAACTTGTTGAGAACGTCCTTTCCTATAACGTGTATAAATTTGGGAATTTTCCGAGATGATTTGGATTCTGGACAAAGCTTAATTTGAGAAACCAGAGTCTCGTTTCAGCGAACTGTTTTTAGTCTGTCTTTGAGCTACTAAAAATGGTGTTTACAGAAAGATTCCGAATTTGTGTTCTTCACAAGAAATGTTTGGTAAAGTCTTGTTTATGATATATTCAAATTTGAGAATTTTCGGAGTCCATTTACTATATTTTCAAGATCGATTTCGTGAACGGTGCAAAGCTGTTCGGTTTTATAAGATTTCCAAGATTTATCAATTTCTATTTGAGAACGTTGGAATCTCAACTTGATGTCTTTTGGTGATATTTAAGGACATTTCCGCGCCGAACCTCGGGTTGAATGAGATTATTATACGTGTTTTGTCGTAGAAAACCCTCGGAAATCAAGGAATTGATTATGATGCGGGTTTACGACTTGAGTGTCGATTAGTTGTTATTGTGCAAACTGATGGTGCTGAGTCATTGTGAGCCGAACCGACATTTCTAGAAGACCGAAATAGGCTCCGTGTTTGTTTGGTTGGGAAGAAACTAGAAGATAAGGCTTTGTCATGGTCAAACCTTCTCCTTCAAGCTTCCATCATTAAGTTTCATTAATGCCATTAAATGGCCCTTGACTTAGAAGCCCTATTTCATGATGACAAGCATTAATAACATTAGACTTTGGAGGTCCTATCATTATGGCCTTGCCAAGGGAACCAACGTGAAGGCCATTCGGCCGTGAGGAAGGAAAAGAGAGAGAGAGAGAGAGAACCAATAGGGAAAGGATGAGTCTTAGCCTTCATCATTTAACCCATAAATGCTCATAAAAACCTGGATGACATATGCCATGACTCAAGCAAGGCCATCATGACTATTGTGCACATTAATACTTGGCTTCTTCTCCAAGCTTATTTGTCTATAAGGAAGCAAGAAGCCTCACGTGAAGTCCCCCCCCCCTCCTCCTCTCTCACGCCATCCTCCAATCTCACGCCAGCATCTCCTTCTTCTTCCTTTGTTCTTGTTTTCTCACTTTGGCCGAGAAGCTCACGCCCAAAACCAACCCCGAACCGGCCCGTGTTCCTACTCGTTCCCATCCAAGAGCCACGGTTTGGCCTTGGTAGGCCTCGTCTTGGTCGACCAAATAAGGAGGAAGCAAGGAAAGAGCCCGAAATTTCCCGAGCTCACCCGTCTCGACCCCCCCCCCCCCCCCCCCGTTCCCTAGTTTTATTTGTCGTTGTGTAAGTGAATTCCCTAATATCGGGAAAGGAAGTTGCGATACGTTGTAACATGGGTTGGTTGACCCGTTTCTTGGTTTCATGGTTGTTCGTTGTTTCTCATCTAATGATGTTCACGTGTGATACTCACGTTTGATGTTTGTTTGGTTGATTTCGTAGCATGACTTTGCTATTTGAAATGCCATTGATGCCGGTACGGTAAGAATTGACTTGTGTGAACGACGATTGTCTCATCCTTGCTTGATATTAGTGTTTTCACTTGCTGAGTCTCCCCGACTCATCCCCCGTGGTTTCCCCTTTTTCAGGTTCGTAGGATGGCGTCTCCCCTAGCCCGCGTTGGCAATCCCGTGGAGCAGAGAGCCGAAGTGCTCACCGTGATAGATGTCAGTAAAGACCGCGCCTACCGTCGAATCACGATGCTTGAGACGTTCGATGAGGGCCTAACGAACTTGGTACCTCAGGGCGGGCCGGCTCCGAGATAAAGCCACGGGTGGGATGTAAGATGGCCAGGCGGACGGGACCGGGGTGGAGGTGAAGAAGCGAGTAGCGAGAAGCCGTAGTGGGTATAGGATAACCCAAGCCGAGTTTTGTTACTCAGTCGGCTATGAAAATATATGTTGTTTGCCATGGCCCGAAGGGCCTGTATTTAATATGTTTTCATGCACTGTAAATATAAGCTTTGTTCATGATGCTGCTTGTCTAAATTTCCGCTGTTGTTTTGAATGTGATTGTCTCGATATTATGCTTCCGCTCGTGTGTAAAGAAAGATAATAATGAACGGGACGTCACGTTAATGACCCCGAGGTGGGGGCGTCACAACTAGTACTCAATTAGCCCATAATCAAGCCAATTTCCATCTAATTGAACTCTAAATTCACCTATCTAGAAATACATTTTAGACTAATTAAAGATTAGGGATTAAATACTCGCCTAATCTAAATCGGGTCGATGGGAACGAGCGGCAGTGATGATGATGCTACTGGTCGGTGAAGGTTGGCGGTGCTCGGCGTGGGCGGCGGCTGCTGCACGGACGGCAACGCGACGACGTACGGGCGGCGGTCCTTCTCGGCTGGACTGAACGGCGGCGCCTAGGCGGTTTCTTGGCCGGCGTCCTCACGGCCAGAACAGGGGAAGGACGGTGAGGTGAGGGTGAGGGTGGTACACGGCGGCGCGGAACGGTGGCGATCGGCACTCCGGCGTGCTCGGCTTCCCGGCGGCGAACGGTGACGGGGATGGCGGTTCACGGCCAAAAGGGAGGAGAGAGATGAGATGGTCGGCTGAGGATGGTGGTGGCGAAGGCAGTGGCATGGCTGGACGGCGGCGGACGATGACGGCGGACGGTGGCCGGCGCCGGTGTGACTCCAGCGGTGATGATCTACCGAAGGGGAAACGGCGGAGGAGAGGACAAACGAGGAGAGAATGGCCAAAGGAGAGAGATGATGGGGGTCAAAAGTGGTGAAAGGTGGGTGAGTGGGATCCAAGTGTCACTAATCCAAGGGGTTGGACCATATTGCCCCTCATCTAATGGTTTGCATTCTTTCTTATCCAATAATGCAAGGGCACAATAGTAAATCAATAAATCCTAATAATTATCCACTTAATAAATCCTCAATTATTGCCCATAATTAAGCCAAAATTCGGAATAGGGAAATTAGGGCACACGGGCATTTTGGTAATTTTGCGATCCCGGGTCGAAATTCCATTTTTCGACCGTACCAATCCCAAATATGTGTGGCCACTCAAAAATGACATCGGCCTTGCAAAATAGTCGCAACGTCCACGAAATTTCGACATCGAAGTTCGGGTCCAATTTCGCGATCAAATTCGCTTATTTTAAAATTTTAGGGCCTTTCACTAACGAGCGGCTGTTTAGGGGTTACGTGTATCGACCTAGGGTTGTCGGAGTTGTGATGGCATCGATTTTCGGGAGAACGCGAGGAATTATCACTAGTACCGGAGGTCACGATCGTTCGGATTAAATTCGAGATTCGTTCGCCACGTGTACTCTCGGTCGTGCGGAATCATCCGCGATCCGATTGTACATCGTTGGTTAAATCGAATCCGACACTTTCCTAAGATCGGCCTACATTGGCCAAAAATATTTCCTCAGCGTTTCTCGAAATCGGTGCCCAATTCGCGATTGGGTCCCCGGTCCACGTACCGTTTTTCCTATTTAGCCATTCCCATTGGGTTAGTATCCCGCGATTGATCAAGTCCGGGCGAGATTTACTAAAATTAAACGAGAATTAATATACACTTTATTGGTCCCGAAAACGGGTCGAAATTCAGGATGTTACAACTCTTCCCCCCTTACGAAAATTTCGTCCTCGAAATTTGAAATCTTCACTTACTCCTCAAACAGGTGGGGGTGTTGACGTCTCATAGCTTCTTCACTTTCCCAAGTGGCACCTTCCGTCCCGTGGTGCTCCCAGACGACTTTGACCATTGGGATCGTCTTGTTCCTCAGCACTCGATCTTTTCTATCTTCGATCCTGACTGGTCTTTTCACGTACGACACCTTGTCATCCACATCTATCTCCTTGAATCATGAAATGTGGGTTGGATCTGGTTCATACTTTCTCAACATCGACACGTGGAAAACATTGTGCACTTGGGATAGGTTAGGTGGCAAGGCAAGTCGGTATGCCATATCGCCAATCTTTTCCAGAATTTCAAATGGTCCGACAAACCTCGGACTTAGCTTTCCCTTCTTACCGAATCGGGATAACCCTTTCATTGGCGACACCTTGAGGAATACGTGATCTCCGAC